TTAAATCGTAAAAGTATTAATATATATATATATATATATATATATACTGTGTGTGTGCGTATGTATGTGTGTTCAATTTGCGTTTGCCCGTGACTCAGGCCCAAAGAACAGAACGAAAATAAGGAGAGAAAAAAGAGAGAGAGAGGGAGAGAGAGATGAAGTAATGAACAATGATGAATAGTGTCTTCTTTAGAAAATGTTTCTCCTATATGTATAAGGGAGATGGTGCAATGGTGATTATATTTCTGTCCCCATTTGAAAGGGGTTCGTGCAAGGGTATTTATGGTATTATATATGTACGACCTTGGCGAGCTTAGTTGACTTTGGGTCGATAGGGTCAACTTGAACGACTGAGCTTGGTCAGTGTGGTTCGGCCAACTGGTCCAGCTTGATTGGCTATCCTTTATCCCTGTTGAGTAGCATTTAGAGTCTCCATGGGATTGTTAGAGATACTTTGTAGAATTAGATATTCCTGTGGGTTGGCTCTACTAGAGAATATGCTCTCTCATTTCGTCAAATTTTTCAATAATGATTGGCTCAAATGCTCTTTCATTTCATTTTCGGCCGAATGGCTCATTCTTAGATCATTCAGTCGTCTTCTTATCCACCTTGTGTCTCAGTCGGGTCCAGTTGGCTTGACTCGTTCGATCAAGTGGCACCTGCAATCTTCTGACACTAGGCGGGCTTTCATCGCATTATTCCCTTCTAGACCGATAGAAATTTTTAAGATCACTGCAAACACATTTTTTATGTACATGTTTTTTACTAATGTTGGTGCATATAAAGTTAAATTATAATATATATGTGTGTTATATATATATATATATATATATATATATATATATATATATAAAGAGGAAGCCGAAGGCTATTAGACGAGCCTCGGTCATCCCTAAGTGTGATAAAGATTCACGAACCCGCAACCTGCGGGGACTTATGATCTTCAAAGAGACTACTCCACTAATAAGATATGATACGCGCACACGCACAAATCTATAAATATTAGCTTCCAAAGTCAACAATGTCATTCATCAAATTTTGGGTATGAAGCAAGTCAATAGAAGCTAGGAGATCTTTTGACTAGATAAGATATGTCCACATACTTCGTAAAATCTTTTCAATATCAAGCTTTACTAATTTATGATATAATTGGGTATTTTTTTTTAAATGTTCTCTTATTAGTAATATATTTTGGTACAATGTTTAGAATATTTATAACATATTTTGGTACAA